GAAAGGCAATCAAGTCTTGAAGTTTACACATCTTGACAAAGGTTCTAAAAAGGTCCAAAATTGGTCTAGTCAGACCTGACCGTCAATAAAACGTTTTAATCACGTGTACATCACAAACAAGAACACATTATTTGTGGACATATGAAAAAAAGAAGCATGTTCTGATTTAGCACATTTTATTGATCTTGAACAGCCAAAATGTATCTTAATATTTTTTCAATGTTTAACATTTGTTAACCAAACTAAAATACCAATTACAAAATACTGAATTATTATATAAAGGGATAGTTCACCCAAAAATGAAAATTCAATGAAGAAAGGTATACAGGTTTGAAACATGAGGTTGAGTAAATGATGACAATTTTCATTTTTGGGGAAACTATCCGTTTAAAAACACATTGTTTGGCTCAGTTTTTGTATCCACCAGCTGTTCCTGGAGCGTGTTTCAGGTGTTCTGCCATTGCTGCATCAATTTCAGAGTCTGTAGCATTTGGGCTCCACCTCTTTACAGCATCTAAGGGAAGATAATATATATATATATTTAAATAAATAAAATTATTATTAAATTAAAATTTGAGGTAAATGATATGCACTTATTTTCAAAATATTTTTATGGTCTACAGCTAAATTAAAAAAAAACTTGGAACAAGATGAATGAATCATGAATGACACATTAGAAAAAGGTAATCAACATGCATTACATTTTATTTTATTGTATAAAATATGTTCTGCTTTTATTTTTAAAGCAGTTACTGAAAACATACATGTTAAAATCCAGCTAAACATTTCATTCCATTTCAGATAATTTACTTTCTGAAAGAAACTCTCAAAAGGCTACATTAATAAGTTACAGTAATGACTGTATCATTAAACAATATACTTGGTATAACGTTACCGTTGTTGTATACGTTCAAAGTTACTTTTAGCCTACTGGCTAATTTTAGCCAAACTCAGTAAATTTCAGTTGACAATGTGGGCATAATTTCTTTCGGTTCATTCATGTCACACAAGTAAAACTCAAGCACGTTAATCTAATACAAAATGTACTTACCCAACAGTAGATTTTTAATAATAATATCGACACAACTCCCTCCTCTCCTCGTGGTTGTTCAAAGTTCCAGAATCTATGGGGAGAACGCGTTAACATCTCGCGAGATAATCCCATCGCATGATTTTGTAATATCGCGAGACCTTTTGTTACTACATCTTGGCAGCACAGTTTATGGTTTGGGCAGAGGGTTTGGGTAATTACATCCAACTCAGACATAAATGGTGACCGGGTATATTTCTGTTTTACATGTATATACATTCCATAAAAAAATAACAACGAATACATCAGGTACAACAGGTTAAAATAATGACTAAAATGCAGTGGCTTTGCATTTGCAATCACTTGACTATACTGTGCATTTTGTGATTATAATTTATAAAAACAAGATAAAGTAAATATATATTCATTTGTATATAAATCGTATAAAGAATTATAAATCCTGATAATTTTTTTCTGTCTTGCTAGACTAGACGTGCAAAAGACGTCAGTGGACGTTATTATTCACACACAGCCTGACTAGACGTGTAAAGGACGCCAGTGGACGTCTTCTTCACAACCTCTTAAAAACTTCATGGGCAACTACATTAATTATTGCAGTATTAACCATGCGAGGATTAAGCGCAGCTTTTGCATATTTAACAAGGATTTCATAGAGGGTCATGATGGACTATAAATGCACGTGTAAAAGACGTCGCCAGGTGACGTCCTCTCACCCGATACACTAAACATAACTACACGAGCTAAAAGTTAAAATAACAATTATACATGCAACTGTAGACATGTACAAATGTATCTGAATGCATTTTTAGGAAATGTTCTGTGTTAAATTTTTTACCGATTTATGACGTCCTGGCCGCAACTATTTTTGGCCAGGGACACGACGTTGCCGTCGGACCAATGTTTGCTGGGTACATAAGGGATGGACAATAGTATAAAAAATAGTATAAAAAATATACGACAACAAGATTAAAATAAACAACAGATATGTGCAATGTGTCAATGTGTCAAGTTTGTGCATAATATGAGATGTGTAGAAACATTAGTAAAATTTATGTACTTTGCAAAAGGGAAGTGTCGGTAGGGGCCCGGGCCTTGTTAGTGAGGCTAACTGCAGACGGAAAGAAACTGTTTTTGTGGCGAGAGGTTTTAGTTCTGATGGACCGGAGCCTCCTGCCAGAGGGGAGAGTCTGAAACAGGTTATGTCCAGGGTGTGAGGGGTCAGCTGCAATCTTTCCTGCTCGCCTCAGAATCCTGGAGGCATACAGGTCCTGAAGTGATGGAAGATTGCAGCCAATCACCTTTTTAAAACCAGTCACCTTCGCCTGACCAACAGTTTGACAGGTAAATGTTAAGGATACTTTTATTTGTCTTACCGTGTTACTCTCCACTTTCTTTCCAGCAATTTTTCATTCTTCACGTTTTCCTTGGCTGCATTCATCATTTGAAGTCGATGCATTCTTTTAGAGCTCCTGGGATTCAACCTCTTCGTGCATGTGGAATAGCCTTTATAAATAGCTCATATTCAATTGAATCAATTTTCATGTTTTTGATGTTTAAATTATAACGGGTGAAAACAGACTCGTGGTTTTATTACATCTTTAATTAGTGATATAATTTACATGAAAGTTATTATCTTAACATTAAAACACTAACATTTTTAACATGAACTTAATTTTACAATTAATGCAAATATTTGCATTTATATTTTAGTTTAATTATTCGTTTGTCTGAGTTGCAAAGTGTCAGTTGATGATGGCAAACGCATGGGCGACTGGATTTTGCAAGTGTTGTCATGGAAATGCCAGGTGAGGGACGAAATAGGGACGTTCGCAAACTGGCCCGGACAAATGTCCTCAGAACGTCCGTCAGCGAACGTTATAAAATGGACCAAATGCGAACGTCATCGGAATGTCCGTCAGCGAACGTTACAAAATGGACCAAATGCGAACGTTATCGGAATGTCCTTCAGCGAACGTTACAAAGCGGACCAAATGCGAACGTCATCGGAATGTCCGTCAGCGAACGTTACAAATGGGACCAAGTGCGGACGTCCTCCGAACGTCCGATCGGGAACGTTACAAAGCGGACCTAATGCGGACCTAAGGGGACGTTTGAAACGTCCGGGGGACGTCCCTTGTTTGCTGGGATCACAAGAGACTTGGAAATATATTATGAAGGTTGAAAAGTTACCTGTTGTTACTTTAAGTTATATTTTTAACACTGCTCCATTTTCAAAAGTAATTTGAAAAATCGCCTTTAACAGGGGCGCGTGCAAAACGCGTTAGACACAGGTCGGGAGGAAAACGCTCACATTCCCACAAATGATCATACTATGATAAAACCATACATTTACACATATTATTGCATATTATACTTACCTCTCAACAATTTGCACACCAAACATACCAAATGCTGCCACGCGTCGTAGAGTAAACTGACTCGCGTCACGTGCAACTCTTTCAGCTCTCAGGCGGCTTTCAGACGGATGTTAAGCCATAGAATACTAATATGGAAGGGCTAAAGGTTAAAAAACATGTGATTGACATGTTAACAACACGTAAAATGCGCATATTTCACGCGTATTTAACACGCATTTCAAGCATTATTGTTTTGCACGTGAAAAACATGTTGTTATCGCGTAAACAACACGTATTTAACACGTGAAATGCATCTTATTACTCTATCAAACTCTATGTTCCTGGGGGGCCACTGGCCTGAAGAGCTTGATTAGCTGGATCAGGTATGTTGGAGCTGGTTGTGACGTGTTTTCGATGTGTGTTAAAGGGATAGTTCACTTTGAAATTAATTTTTGGTATGTTTTAATGACTCGTAAATGTAAGTACACATTGATGGCCTAAGACACGAAACGAGCGGTTTGTGTGAGAAAACGAACAGTATTTATATCGTTTTTACCTCTTGTAACCACAGCCACGTCCAAGTGATCTGAGGACGCGGGCGCTTCGGTCTGCGCAAGCGCCGGAAATGATCTCTCGCGCGTGTACGTCACTCATTGTTTACACAGAGATTTCGGAAGTGTTACCTTTCACTGTGAAGATTTAAACATATTTAGATATACAGGAAATCGCAATGGAAGACGATTTCGATATATCAACAGACAACGTTGAATTTTTTTCGTACACGCGCGAGAGATCACTTCCGGCGCTTTCCGGCGCTTGCGCAGACCGAAGCGCCCGCACCCTCAGATCACTTGGACGTGGCTGTGGTTAAAAACGATATAAATACTGTTCGTTTTCTCACACAAACCGTTCGTTTCGTGTCTTAGGCCATCAATGTGTACTTACATTTATGAGTCATTAAATCATGTTTAATTTGGACTTCTCTGTGCATGCTCTTTGAGGTGGTGACCATAGACCTGCATTATATGACTGACAGACAAGAACGGTTTGACCTAAAAATATCAAAATTGAAACTACTGCGGAAACAAAGACACCTACATCTTGGATGCCCTTGAGGTAAGCTAAAACATACCAAAAATTAATTTCGAAGTGAACTATCCCTTTAAAGAGAAAACACGAGACCTGTTTTAGGTTTCAGCCATGTTCTTTAATCTACCTTGACCCCGCCCCATAACCCCAACATTACATTTATGCTTCAGGGTGGCAATAGGTCACTCATGTTTTACATATCATGACATCTCCTTTTTTTTCTTTTCTTTTTTTTTTACATTCTGCAAAAAAAAAAAAAAAAACTTCAGTCACCTTGTATAGCCCACCATTACAAAACAAATGTGTATCACTACACAACATAACAGCATTTTTTTAAGCATCTGCCAGGCTTTCATTTAACATAACACTGTCCTTTGAACTGTGACATTGTTTAAACTTAAGGAAATATCATAGAACTACTCCTCAATAAGCCTTCTTGGTTTTGAGACTACTCGTCCACTTGGAGTTTTTACAGGTAGACTTGAGAGATCGGTGGGACTGACATCTCTTTTCCATGTTTGAGTGTCCATTTCCTGTTTTTTTCTCTGTGTTGTCACACCCATTTTGTTGAGTCACATCTTGATTGTCCGTGCCCTTCCTTGGTGTGCCACTTTGTTCTTTTGATTTCATTAAAAACTTTCTGTTCCTTCTGTACACCTTCCCCTCAGGTGTCTCAACGACATAAGATATTGGCTGCTCAGAAAGTCCAGTAACTTCAGCTGGATTCCATGTTCCATCATGCCAAATTCTTATATTGTCGCCAACCTGAAGTTTCTGAAGAGGTCTGGATCTTTGGTCGAAATATTCCTTCTGCATCTTTTGTCTCTTTTCTAACAACTGCTGTACTGGGTTAGTTACCATGCGAGGCTTCAACAACTCTGATGTAATCGGAAGTCTTGTACTCAGTCTTCGACCCATCAACAGTTGGGCTGGAGATGCTCCAATATCCTCCATGGGTGTGCTTCCCCAGATCAAAAGATCATCAATGTATGTCTCAACGCCTTCAATTCCCTAAAAAAGTTGCTTCACCGTCCTGTGAAAAACTTCTGGAGCAGAGTTGACCCCAAATGGGAGTCAATGGAATCTGAAGCGCCAAAAGGAGTGTTGAATGTACAAAGACGCAAGCTGGCTTCATCTAATTTGAGTTGCCAAAAACCTGAACTTGCATCCAACACTGTAAAGTATTTGGCTTTTGAGAGTCTGCTAGTTTTTTGCTCTACCGTTGGTAGCTGGTTGGTAGCTGTTCTCTCATTACCGCTGTGTTTTGATCTCGGGGGTCTAAACATATTCTTAATTTCCCATTAGACTTTTCCACAATCACAATGGGGTTGACCCACTGAGTGGGCTCTTCAGTTCTTGCTATTACTTTCATTTTTTCCATTCAGTTCAGTTCTGTTTTCAGGTTTTCTCTCAGGGTCACTGGAATTTTTCTAGGTGGATGAACTCTCGGAACCACATTTTCATCTATTCGGATTGTGTGCTCGCCCTCCAGGCAACCTATGCCCTCAAACACATCAGCATACTCCGTGAAGATATCCATTTTGTCACTTTTGCTCAATTCCATCACTCTCTGTATGAGCCCCATTTGTTCACATGCATTAATTCCTAATATTGGTTTAGCATCTGATTTCACAACAATGAATTCCAGTACATGTGTTTTCTTTTTGTATTTCACTGCCCAGTTACACTTTCCTTTCACAGGTATTTTGTCTCCAGTGTAAGTTGACAGTTTCACATTTATGGGTCTTAGTATGTTCTTTTTTCCAATTCTTTGCAGCAGGCTTTACGGGATTACATTGGCTTGCGCACCAGTATCTAGTTTAAATTTGACATGTTTGTGCTCCAATTTTAAGTCAACTCTCCATTCATCTGTCCCTGTCTGCATTTGCACTGCACCAACAAACAGACTAGGTCTCTGATCTGTGAGGTCATCATCAACCGCATGCACTTTCTTAGATTTAAACCTCTTAGCAAAGTGGTTAATTTTATTACAGTTCTTGCACTGTTTGCCATATGCGGGGCAATTGCGTGATGCATGCTCCGTTCCACATCTTTTGCAATTAAAAGTGCTTGCTTTGTCTTTTTCATTTGGTTTGTATTTATTTCGTTGCTCGTTTTTGCGTGTCTGTTTATGTTTCACTGCATCAACGTGCTTGCTTTCACGTGCAGAGGCTTGTGCGTTGTGATCATAGACTGTAAAAAAAGATGGACGACGCCCCTTCGCTCTCTTCCATTGGCGAGAAGTGAAGCCGCCAGTGTCCCGATATGGCGCTGACATCTTGGAACTTGAGTCTGCGCAGTAGTGATTTCGGGACCAGACATGCGCAGTAGTGAGCAGGAAGTAAAGCCGCGAAATCAAGGCCCCGCCCTCACTCTCGCTGAATCAATCGCAATCACACTGCAGAACAACCCATTATGTCGGTGTGAAATAATTAATTATAGAAATTTAGATATTTAATTTAAAGCTCCAATCTCCTGAGTCCTGAAAGATCCCGAAAAAAAGTCTGTTGGTGCTTCAGTGACTACTTCGCTCAGAGAACATGTCAATCACAGCTGTCAATCATGAGGAGGGGGGGTTTATGACCTATACTAGGACCAGTCACCAGGGGGTGATCGAGACATTTTGGCTTCACTTTTTTTAGGGCTTGTGTGGCACGCTTGGTTGTGATCCTCGTCATGCATTTGCTTCATCTGAGCTTTTGTCATCTTGTCTGACGCGAAACACAGCTGGGTAGCTTTTTCGAGACTAATGTCAACTTCTCTTAAAAGTCTCTCTCTCATGGCATCTGACGTGATTCCACAGACAACTCGATCTCTTATAAGAGATTCGTGCAACAGTCCAAACTTGCATGACTTCGCCTTTAGCTTCAGTTCTGTGATGTACCTTGCACCTTGTACCTTGAAAGCCCTTGCACACACGTGAAAAACTTATAGGCTACCTCTCATTGGTTATGTTCTTTTTCGGGTTACAGTACACTCTAAAAATTGATGTGTTAAAAATGAACACAAAATATGTGTCAAAAGATTTGTAACACATTTTGTGTTACTACAGACACATGATGTGTAAATATTGTGCTCAACTGTTTACACAATTACTGTGTTAAACACATTTTAGTACATGTAAGGCATATATTCTGTTGCAAATACTCAACGGGTGATGTCACCTTTAATAATTGGAATATTTATCATGTTGCAAATGTGAATAAAGCATTTTAACTCGCTGGGGGAAAACAACTATTGGGACTACGGTTTCTTGCTGCGCGCGCCTGCGCAGTGGCGTTCTTTTCCAACCGACGCCTAGTCAGCCGTCAGAAATGCGTCTGTCTGCCTCAGGTGAGTGAGTGAATATAATTAAACGTGTAAAATAATAAACATTTCTCCACCTAGCATGAGAAAGAGTTGTGTTAATTGTCCAGGAAACATAATTTGTTTGTTTTAACCGTTTTCATGTTCCGTAGCCGAATATGTTTTGTGTTTTAACTAGCGTCAATAGGCAAGCGAGCTCTCACGCTTTGCAAAGCTGTTTATTTATTGGGTATATGACTGCTAATAATTGTGTAAACGTGTAAAATAATAAACATAAAATAATAATAAAACATAGTAAAATAATACAAACATAGTAAAATAATAATTGTGTAAACGTGTAAAATAATAAACATTTCTCCACCTAGCATGAGAAAGAGTTGTGTTAATTGTCCAGGAAATAATTGTGTAAACGTGTAAAATAATAAACATAAAATAATAATAAAACATAGTAAAATAAAATAAACATAGTAAAATAATAATTGTGTAAACGTGTAAAATAATAAACATTTCTCCACCTAGCATGAGAAAGAGTTGTGTTAATTGTCCAGGAAACATAATTTGTTTGTTTTAACCGTTTTCATGTTCCGTAGCCGAATATGTTTTGTGTTTTAACTAGCGTCAATAGGCAAGCGAGCTCTCACGCTTTGCAAAGCTGTTTATTTATTGGGTATATGACTGCTAATAATTGTTTTTAAAAAGACGTAAAGGTTAATATACATGGCACCTTAAGTTTGAACTCCTAACAGTCATTTTACCTAAAACTATGCAGTGGTTAAAGGACGTTGTGGCGATGAGTGTTGTTTGGTTTAAAAAGCGCGCCACTTTGTGCTAACATTAGCACCTTGCTTGTCACTGACTATTTAAAATGTATTGATAACGCGATACACTTAACGTTTACATTTTCTCATTATTAAATTATGACTCCTGTATGATTACAGCATTATAATATGGTGTTATTATATCTTTTATCTAGGTAATGGAAGACGAGTGTCAAATCACGTTTACTCCAACAATTTTACACAGAGTTCTCGCGACTGTCTTCATAGACGGGAAGGAAACATGGAGAAAACTATTCACAGTTGGAAGTGTTGGAATATCCCAGACTTCTGGACATGCCAGCCTTGGTAATACATGTTAAACTAAGCTGCAGAGAACTTTACACAAAGGTTGTGTTTCATAATTTGGTAATATTAATAATTTCTTTGTTTCTGTTTTATGCACTGCAGATGGACATTGAATTTTCCAAGATGACAGATGGGAAAGAAGACATGTTTATCAAGAAATGGGAGGGGACGATTATCCCAAAACTCAAGGAAATAGCATCCTTTGAGAAAAAAACGGACATCAGAAACTTATTGGAGAAAGCTGACAATAAGCAGGATGGTAAGATTTTTTTTCTTTTATTTCTGTGGCATGTGCACAAATTTCCAAATTGGGTTTCTGTGAAAATGACACGTACATTTCATCATTCAATTCATGATTTAAAGGTAATCATTTCAAATAGAATTTTGTTTTTAATCTTTTGCATGTGACCTGCATCTTTACTCCAAGATGAGGTGTTACACTATGTTAAGGATCCTCATTCATCTTCTTCCACCCACGACATTTTCTGATGCTTTTCATTGTTTCATTTCTATAGGCTGGTACCATTGTGACGTCTTTGCTTCAAGAAGGCATGAACGGGTCTCTGAAGTCAACGCAGCCGCAGCTGGTTTCCATCGGCTCTCCAGGACATGAAGCCCAGTATGTAATTGTGGCAAAGAATGATTCTTTTTGTAACCCTTATTACGAGGTAGTAATAATAATGTACATAGGTTTAATAGTCTGAAGTAGTCGTAGAGAATATCATGAATACGATTTGGACCAAAATCAGAAGACACTAAATTGTTAAGAGCCTGAGAATTGAATATCAATAAAAAAATATACCACACCAGAATGACAGTTCAGACAACCTGTATTAAATTCACAGGGTGGAGCATACATACAAGGGAAACAAACATATTTATGAAAAATAACAAACTAAAATAATAAAGTGCGCACGTAAACAAACAAAACACTCTCTTTTCAGTATCTTTGAGCTCAGTTCGTCCTCGGTTCGACTTGCCCTGGTTGACAAAAGTTCAGTTTCACCGTTGGTTTTTTTTCCAGGTTGAGTTAGTGTTTGTCCTACCACAATGAAGATGAAGAGGATGAAATCAGTTCGTCTAAAGCACTCTGATTCGTTGTCAAACACGGTTGGCTCGCCACCCAGCCACTCAGACTGGGAATCAATGCATCTTTGGAAGAACGTCTGGATCTGGATCACTCCATGCAAAGGATCTCTGCCCGATGTTCCCAACTCTTTACCAAAACCTGACCTATAAATAAGGCCAAATCATTTCTTTCAATTACCATTCAGTGAATAAATGGACTGTTACAGGCTTCTACAAAATAAAATGAGATAATATTTCAGTACACCTATAATGCAATATAAAAATCTTTCTCTCGTTGTACAACAGCTCTTATGTTTCTTCTCAGGTATCAAAACTAAATGAATTTTTCTCTAGTATCAAAAGTAAATTTACATAATTTGCATCCTTCATAAAGACACATTTCACATTCAAGTTTTATGAAACCTTATGGTAGTCACATTAACAGTATGAAGAATA